ATCTATGTTAGTTTGCCGTACAAATAGGAGTTACTCTTTGCCAAGTGCCCCATCCTGTTCTTGCTCCCTACCTATCCGTGAGGGGCGTGATGACGAGGCGCTCAGTGCAGCCTACGAACTCGTTCTGGTAGTGGAAGGTGACGTCGGTGAGGACGATGTTTGTCTTGTCCATGTCCTCACGGAAGTAAATTCGACACTGACGCAGCCAATCGAAGTCCGACACCGACCGCACATTCCTTCGACACTGCCAAAGTTCAGATATGCCATGATATACATGTGTTGCAGTACACACCCTTTTGCACTCACTATCATGTAAGATCAGGCATACTACTAACCAGACTGTCAAAAATGTCCCTTTGATGGATATGGATGGTGATCAGCGTTTCGTATTTGGTCCTCTGTACAGGTTCCAAGTCACGCGTCGTTTGATTAATGAGAAGATTGAGAAGATCCAGGAAACGATTGTTCATCTCGGCCATGACCCGGCGGTCAGCACGAGACTGCGTCAGCGCGGCCTCCGAGTCTCTCGTCCAGATCATCTGCAGCCCCAGGATGCCCACCTGCAGTAAGGCCAGAGCGCCATTTACTGAGTATGCTAAATAGTGTAAAGGATCGGCGAGGAAAGCATAAAAAATGCTCAAAATCATTATATGTCCTTAGAAAACAGTAAAATCGATGCGACCTGCTCCTGGATAAAACAAAACTACTATAGTAAGACCTGTGCTGGGAACTGTTCCAAGAAGCGCAGGACGTTCAGGTCAGGGTCCTGGATGACATGGTGCGCCTGGCGGATGATGCCGTGGACAGACTGCTGACACATGACCAGCAGCTTCATGAGCCACACCTCAACGCTGCCCTCTGCCCGCACCGGCTTCTCAAGCTGTGCAACACACAAGCGTTTTATCATAAGGGCAGCATACTTTATCATTTGTGTCTGTCAAGGAGTGAATGAAAAAAGACAGATATACATACTGAATTTAACATGTGTGAGTAACCAAGATTCTTCTGTGACACAACGTTCAGCTCACCTGAACCATTTCCCCTTCACATGAAGAGATGGCGGTGATCCGGTCGTAGTCCTGCTCATGGAAGCGGACGGTCTTGGTGTTGTCGAAGATCGACATGAGGTGAGCCTGGATGGTGTGCGAGTCTGAGGCCTGGCCCAGAATTTCGAGCAAGGCTGGGTCAGACACAAAGAAGAAGCGGGGGAACATGAGGCGCTTCTTCTCCAGGTACCCTGACAGGCTCTTCTGACAGAGCTCTAGCTGGTCCTGCAGGTATGGCAGTAACTGCTTCAGCATGTCATCCCCGACGCAGCAGGCCACCACGTTGGGGTTGTCGTGGGCGCGAACCATGATCTTTTGCCAGCTCTTGTCAATTACATAGAATCTGCAACACAAAAGTCACTCCCTGTATATTATGTTCCTATTACATCCCTTCGATGTTGCACTGGAATTCTTAGGTCACAGACGAAGAACTGTGAAGCATTCTAATCTATGTTTGAAAGAAAGCATTACATAAATAATACTACGAATGGTATGTTTATAAAATATAAAAGATATATGTAATTATTAACTGACCAAACAGATACTGCAAAAAAAAAAAAAAAATTGTGTCATTCCTGAACATATTGATAATAATCTTTCAACTTGAGTTTATTAAAACATCTCATGAGTTTTTGCAACTCGAATATTTCATACTTTGATATACATGTCTAAATAAAGAAACGTATAACTGTATGCATTCTCTTTATTGGTGTCCAGAGGAACCCTTCTCAAGTATCCGCATGCATACCTTTTGGCTTCCTTAGGAAGCTGTTTTGCGATATCTCCGCCGACGAACACAGCTTCGAGATAAACCCAGAGATTCTGAACGAACAACCACCGTTCCAGAATTTCATTGGTGTTAGACAGATCGCTCACCCACTTCTGAATCTGCTTTCGGAACGGAGCGTTGTACCTGGGAACATTGAGATTCATTGTGGTGTTAAAATAAAAAAAATCCAAATGCCATTAACCCCTGCAAGCGCCATGATCCGAAATGAATGAGAAAGAAAAGAGGCACCTGTTGGACAAGAGGGACCCCAACACCATGAGCGAGTCCTCGAGCTGCGTTATGACCTCAGCCGTCGTGTCGCCTCGCAGCAGCAGTTCACCGCGGTTCTTGAAGGTGGAGAAGGTCAGGTCGTGGCTCGCCCACTCGTTCGTCACAATCCGCAACTTGGCCTCGATGTCCTTCTCCTTCACAGCCGAGATGCAGATGTCCTGGAAAGGGAGGGTGGGAATTTCCAGTTTTTACTTCAGTGCATTTTACCTTTTAACAAAGGATAAACGTTGGTGTGTGTGTGTTCCTTCTAATCAATATTGTTCAAGGCGACCACTGAGTTAGCTGTTCCTTACCTCTATATCTTCCTTGAACTGCAGCAGAGGTGAGTCCATGATATTCCTGAGGCAAAAGTTCTCGCTGTCCACGTCGAGGGGCTTGTTGATGACCTCCGCTATGCGCTGCCAATGGCGGGGCTTCATGGCCTTGTTGGACATGAGTTCTAGGAGCGGACACATGTCGTTGAAGTCGTCGATCGTCTTCTTGAGGGCGTTGAAGGCCGGCCATTCCTTTAGGCCTTTAGGTAGTTTGCGACATCTGGAATTGTGGAGTTACCTTCTGGGATGAACTTTTTTAAGCAGCCAATTGATTATCATATGTCAGCCTACTTACTGGTTCAGCAGGTGATAAAGTTTTTAGATTTTTTTCAATCTAGCAATTCACTTTGGATATAATGTTATTACAAGAACAACACTGTAGATTGGAAGAGAAGTTGAATGTACAGCAGCCCAAAGGCCCAGACTCACCTGTTTTGGAATTCCATCAGCTCGTTGTTAATTTCCTCGATGTTGACTTCACTCCACGGAATTTCATAGTAAGATGAGACACGATCAATTACATCATTGTATAATTTGTATAGCTTCTGAAGCAAGTTGAGCTCCTTGCGAATCTGCCCCAGCTCGGGAAACTCTGATCGCGGGAGGCGAAAGAGCTCCTCGCCCACCGAGTAGCTCGAGTGCTTTCGCCATAGAGTATCGAAGCGATTCTGCCAGAGTAATCGTTAATCTGTATAATCCTTATGAATTCAGACTATAGAAAAAGCTCCAAGGGATTCATTAATGACTCTTCTTTAATGAAACTTCAGTTCATCCTAATTGCTCACATGAGTAAAGACCCTTTTACATAACATCTATGGTATCCATTTCCGAGTTTCATTTAATCATTTTACTGAGATCATCAGCATGCTTGCACCTATATCAATCTAGAGACTGGGAAGTCATATCAGATGATTCTTTTATGGGACTTTATTCTCAGACGTTAAACAACTTTTAACTGAAGTAAACATTACATTTTCACAGGAAAAAAATGCATACAATCTTTATCAGCTCCGAAGTAAATGCTTGAAAAGGAAATCATACAGAGACATCTTGATTATGAAAGCATTTAAGGCCATGAATTAATTGTGAAATTTTGAATAGAGGATGAGATAGTAAGCACACAATAAAAAAAAAAAACGATTATAGAGACAACTTAGGTTGTTGCCCGAAAAACCTACCTGTGCTACAATGAGCCTATCTGACGCGTCCTCTGGCGCCAGGCCAGGCACCATGGGACCCTGCGTCCGATAGTCATGCACGAACTTGTTGCAGTCCTTCTTGAACTGCGCCACGTTATGGATGAGCTCATTTCTTCAGGGAGCAGTCATATTAAGCAGGTGAATAACATATTTTCATGAGGTACTTGTAGTGCAGTAATTGTAAACCTACATTCCTACAGAACTTATCCCCATTGGTAATACATATACTTTTTAATGAATTGTATCCTCATTTATTCTTGGCATGCTTTAAATACTGAATACTGACTCTGACTCTAACTCTAAGACATAATCAGTGAGGATTTATCTTATATTTGAACAGACAAGGCAATTGATAACTAACCTAAAGTATGGCTGTACGCGAGAAAGCAGGTTCTGCACCTCTACAGCTTGAGCAAGGACCTTCTGCCAAGTGAAACGCAGGTTGTCCACTTTCTCAGCCTCTTCTTGAGACAGTCCAAGTTCGTATTTCACAAGTAACCCAAAAGATTCCTAAAATAAAGAAAGTCTGTTCATTAACCTCTTATAAATTTATTAATTACTCTGTATATATGACGATTTTTCGATCTATTTATATATCGCTCTCAATGTCGATCTATTCATTAATATTTTTCTGACTACCTGTCTGTCTGTCTCTCTCTCTCTCTCTCTCTCTCTCTCTCTCTCTCTCTCTCTCTCTCTCTCTCTCTCTCTCTCTCTCTCTTTCTCTCTTTCTCTCTCTCTCTCTTTCTCTCTCTCTCCTTTCCATGCTTCATGTGCATGTGTATTTATAGGTAAGCGTATGGACTACATTACCTCTATAGGTTCTATAGCATCGTCCATGTCAAGTTCGAGGTCGCGTGTCTTGCGCAGGATGTCAATTGCACCCTTGATGTCGTCCAGGTCTTTGAGCGGTCGCTCCAGTCGCCGGGAAAGTTCGTTCAGCTGAGCAAAGAGTCTTTCCATTTCCTTCATGTAATTGACCTTCAGCGCCTCACCGAACTTATCCACCCAAAGGGACGCTTCCTCTGCTAGAGCCTTCTTCAGGTTCTCTGTGAAAAGTAGTTATCATACAGTCGTTCCGGTATGCAGAGCAAAGAAGTATTTGCAGGCTATAGAAGCAATAGAAAATGAACTAAAAGGTATATTCTCTGGGAAGTAATTTTGCTCATTCCCCTAACCTGTGTTGAGGGCAAGAGCCCCAACCCGATAATGGCATTCCTCTGCTTTGATCTGTTTTTCTAATACGATGTAACTCTTCATTGTCTTGTCGTAGTCTTGGACAGATGGTGCGAGTGAAATAAACTCTTTAATCGCAGCGTCTTTGTCGACCCTCCAGAGATGATGGTATTGTTCCCAAATATTGAATGTGTTGTAAACCTCC